ATATGTATACTGACATTGTTGAATGTATACACTTATAATTATTTTAAGACTAATTTTAGGGTATTTTATAAATGAAAACACTAGACCAGCATTCATTCAGGAAACTAACTTGATAACACTTTCATTTTGACGGGCCTGTTGGTCTAGTGGTTAGTGACCCTGACTGCTAATTCGGAGGTCGTGGGTTCGATTCCCACCCAGGACAAATATTGTGTGATGAGCACGGTCATTTGTTCTGTGTCTGGGTGTAATTTATCTATAATATGTATGTATTTAGAAATATATAAGTATGTTTATCAGCATTCTGGGTACCATAACACAGGCTCTGCCTAGTTTGGGATCAGACGGCCCTCTGTGAGTGTGTGAGATATATTATATTATTATTTTCAAAATAATATGAAAATGTAGATACTGTAAGTCTAATGCGATAATCATTGAGAGAATCAGATATTCCATCTAAAAGAATAAAGCCAAGGTAATATAAAACGTATAGTAATATACCCAGTTATAACTCATTCCTAATTTTAAGAGATAAGACTAAGAAACTGGAGTCTGAAATGTTTGAGAGCTACAGAAAAAGCAGGAGGATAGCATAAATAAATCAACTAAGCGTTTTTGGTTTTATATCAAAGGTAAACAACAGTCTTCTAATATCCCCAACTATGAAATACGGGCAGAACTCGTCAGACTTTACTTTTTTACTTTTTTTTGTGACTTTTTTATTTTAACTTTCTTCAAACTAGTGGTACTTCTAATAATAATTATGGTGATTTTACGTTAGTTCAGAGCCAGACAACTGCCGCGAATATGCGTCTAGTGGAAGTACGATAGTCAGATGTTAAATCAGTTGATCTAAAGAAGTAGGTGGGCCCAGACGGTGTCCCAGCTATCCTCTTAAAAAACTGTTCACGTAGCTTGTCGTTACCACTGAGCATCTCATTTCAACATTAACTCAGCGAAGGCGTATTACCCCAAACATGTAAAACCGGGTTTAGTACACCTATACGCAAAAAAAGGTTCTAAAAACGAAATAGAAAACTACAATTCCCATTCATAAACTCTCTCTATTTGCAAAGATACTGAAAAAAATTGTGTGCTCGTCCGTAAAACTTTCATTGAATTGTAAAAATAGATCTACTGTTTCCAATTTTCTTGTCTGTTCTGACTAGATAGTCAGATGACGCAAGTCATAAGTAGCCATCTCAGGTCGATGTGATGTATACAGACTATAAAAAAGCCTTTGATCGTAAAGACAATTCGATCCTCTTACGTAAATTGCTAGCAATTGGTATAAGTGTTGATTTGTTTAGGTGGTTTAAGTCGTAAATTGAAAATCGTGGCCAGACAGTGGTGCCGAATGGTTACAGCTCTAGGACAGTCTTCATCCCCTAAATAATAGAAATACCTCAAGGATCACTTCTTGGCCCGTTGCTATTCACTATATGTATTTATCAATGAAATCCATACATGCTTCACACACTCAAGAATAATACCTACTTAACTTATATATGTATAATATACATATCTTAGTGACTAACCTCCAACAAGATTTAAATGAACTGCAGAAATATTTCAAAATTAAACTCAAACTCAAAATATCTTTATATCATGGTTTTTATTGTTTGGAAACGTCTTTTATGTAGAATAAAGTCATAGATCAACACACACACCGCAACAATCTCTGTTTGGTCAAATATTATAATTATAATTTTGTCAAATATGTGAAATAAGAAAACTTACCTCGAGTATTTTAATCCAATGTACAATAATATTTCTAATACGTCTCTCCCGATCTGAGTCAATGTTAAGGTTATGAGAACTATGTCTCATAAGCGACGTTCTGTAGGTAACACATACTTGTCTCTGACGCCCTGAATCAGAACTTGATGAAGCTTCTTCACTTGGGATTGAGACATAAGGAGTGTTCTATGCCACAGTCCAACATGAATGACATATTTGACTGTGAGCTTCAATCTGTTGACAAATGAAAAAAAAGCGTTAGCGTTTATCACTTTTTGTTTATTAGATAAATTATGCATTTAAGTTAAAACATAAAATACTTACTAATTAAAGTGCAATCCATTGAAAAATTACACATCATGTACAACTACATAGGTTAAGAGCATGTCTCCTTCTGTGTCACATCAGTACCACAATTGATGGAACGTATAAGTCGTCATGCAAATCGAGTTCAACATCCCAAGAATTGAAAGGGTCAACGTTTGAAGACGGTACAGGGTAAAAAACCAAACCGGGCTCGTCGTGAGAAGTGAAGTAATCCATTTTGAATAGAATCTCCAAAAATTAACAAATAGTAACGCCGTCTAACAGATAGTAAAGTGTTATTAGAGTAAGAAAAAAATACCCATGTGCTGTTTACTATTCTTCATCACAATTTGTTTTTATACATATATTTTGTCTTATAAAAGATATGTATGAAGAAAATAAAAAATAATTATATTTCGTAGGTATTACAGACTTCAAAATACTTTTTAAGTAAGACTATTATTTACGAGTATTAGTGTGTTTAATTGGATCACTTTTGTCACTACTTTTTTTTAGTATGCAATACTTTCGAGCCGTTTCGCTCAAAAAATGAACGGATTGTACGTCATAAATATTTTGAAATACCTTTTTTGAATGTGTTCATTTGGAACAACCGAATTGTGCCCAAAATTATTTCAATATTAAAAAAAAATATTACCATTTTCATTGGTTTACAAAACAGCAGTTTTGTAAACCACACCTTGGCCCACTTCTGTCAGCTTCCTTTGAGTTTTCTTTACAAATAATAAAGAAAATTCTCTTTTGAACTAAAATATAGTATGTTATGTCGTGCATCTGTGTGGTGACGGATTAAGAATACAGAGTGTCACCACCCCTATTCATCCCGTGGTGGGTAAGAGTCAATTATTGGAGCAAACTCTGCAGGACAACAGCACTGCAAAGAGTAGGAAAGCTTGCAACAAACCCTATACCAACCCGTCTGGCCAACGTGGTATAATAGGCCAAAACCTCTTTTCTAAGGACGCTTTTTTTGTTGACCGGGTGAAAAATCCCTTCGGATCTCCGGCTCCTCGGGGGCTATCTAATCCCTCCCGCACGCCGACCACTGTCATCCTGTACACCAGGATCAACAGCAGTGACCCACGAACACACCGAGTTATGACATTCGGAAAGTCCCAGGAGAAAAATAAAAATTAAACTGTCATGGAACCCACAACGAAATTAATCAGAAGAAAATTGGAGGAGTTGGAAAAACAGTAAATCCACTCCCCTCTTTAGCAAAGCGTTAGACAAAATGAAGCAAAATAGGCATACACCCTTTTAAACAGGGAAGCATCGGCCTTCCAGCGTATGCTAGGCGGAGTCCCACTCGGCTACGCAGTGCTGGCATTGTGCCGTCTCCCTGAGTCCAATCCGATTCAGCTACTCACTGAAACAGCCATGCCCAGTGAGTACCTGCGTCAGTTGGTAAGTGACGCGACCTCCCTCACTACCTATCTAAGCTTCGCGGTTAGTCAGAACGACACCGAGAATGCGTTGGCGCACACTCCGCGGCTTTTGGGCTCCTAACTCAGCGAGCTTCAGGACTTCCTGGAAACCATGCTCCCCAGCTAGTACCAGTGTCGTCCGCGTCGTCCTGGGGGAAGGCTGGTCCTTAGGACGGCATCATACCCCTGGGGGAACCCTGTATATGACCTCTCCGTATACATTCGCATATAATCTTCGCCGTCCCGACCCATATACGATATATATGTATATCGCGGAGATAAACCCCGATGATGTCCCGCAGGTAGGGAGGCAGCTGGTGATAAACAAGTGCCTCCCTAATCGTCCACCACGGGAGAGAGTTAAAAGGTCTGTTGATGCCTGCTGTTGATGATGATGATAATTATTGTAAACTCAAAGAAACGTTAAAAATATTTCAATAATCAAGGAACAGTTGGTAGTAGCCTACTGCTACTACCAACTACTGTTAGAGGAAATGTATTTTAAATACAAATAATAAATATTATTGTAAGGAGAATGATAGTAAAACAAAATTACCTCAATTACTGGTTAATAACATATAGTGTGGGTGTTATATTATATATACATATATATATATATATTATAATACCAGAAATTTTATGACTTGATTGATTTGAGAATTAAATATTTTTAACAATCGAAATTTGTATAGTTACAAAAATCATATCTTTTTGTGGCATACGTGAAAATGTCATAAAAATACAAGGAAAACATTTTCACACACAAAAGACAGTAAAAATATAAAAGGATACGGTCCTAATAACTTGGTCAAAATTATAACCGACTCTAAAATGCTAGATACGAGTAACTGCAGATGTCTGATGGTATATGACATCCGTTGTTTCTTTTGCCCCCATAGTCACAATGAAACAATAAATATATTAAATTTGTAATAATAACTTTTGGGAGAAATAAAATTATAAGCTTGTTTTTCACATTAACGGACTAGCACATTGTATGCCGAAAAAGACTACGTACAGCATCCACTGCCGTACTAGTAAGATCTGTGTTTCAGCACCCGTCAGAAATTATTGGTAAACTAGTGTTTTCGGTTCAGTTTAAATTACAAAAATATACATTATAAGGCTAAGTTTTATAAAGTAAGCGTTATGTGTTTTAATAGGGTGGTTTCTGTAACGGACTGCTATTCCAAAGGTCGCGGGTTCGATTCCCGCTCAAGTCAAACATTTGTGTGCATGAACATTTAATGTTTGATTTGGTCTGGGTGTTTCTATGTATAATAAGTCTGTATTTACAAAACAAAAGTATATTTGTATTTATATCAGTTGTCTAGTACCCATAGTACAAGCTCTGCTTAGTTTGGGACTAGTTGGCGTTGTGTGAATGTGGTACAATATTATTTATTTATTTATTTTATTACTTTACAGTCACATGTCACTTTACTTTGCCTTGCACATTAACATAAAGGACATATGCAGTAATGTTATTTTTCCTGTATGTCCTAGCACGCAAGACACGCAAGACAATTCTAAACGACGTATCTGGAACTTTCAATGCCGGCGAGTTGTCAGTCATCATGGGACCATCCGGAGCGGGAAAGAGCACTCTCATGGACATTCTAGCTGGCTATACGTGAGTTTTTTTAAAATGATTTTTTGGGGCTCTAATTTAAATATAGTTAGTTCTAATGTATTCACAAATCTTCAAAAATCCGAATTTTCTATTTTTTACTATTTGTAATCCGAATGGATATACTATTCTAATACGCAAAGCACAGATTATCCCGAATATACTTTATATTAATTTATAAGCTGTATTAATTAAATGTTTACTTTAATTAAGTGCGCCAAAAGTCAATTGGTGTTAAACATTTCTAGCGAGTTAACGGCACTCATATCTAGTTTAAAAAAATGTATTTAAATAAATAATGGTTCCGAGGCGAAAAGTAACCGTAGAAAAATAACTAAGATTGTCTGTGAATACAAAAGTCTGAAAAATTTACCGTACTTACATGGTGAGAATAATGATATAAAGAGTTTAAAGGTCCTCGTCTCACTGATAGGCCTCGGTCTACGAGTAGATGCAATAGGCCTACTACTACCATAATGAATAAAAAGGCCATGGCAGTGATGCATTTCTTACATGGACCGTAGGTGTACAATGCTGACCCTCCAACACAATAATTAAGGGCAGAATGGCAGCACAGGAACATTATAATATTCTCTATCACAATTAAAATAAATCTGCTGAAATAGCGAAGTTAAATAGGGCTTCCCTACTTTTAGAAAAACGATTGAAGACAACGAAGTGGACTTACTCGAACGACTTAAACACACATTGCAGTTCATTAATTAATTAATTCGTTAAAGTAACATTGTCGATATATGGTCGACTATATAAATCAAAATTTAAAAATTCTGTAAAATTAATGTTTAGACAAATAAAACCAGTTCTGCAAACAAGAAATTTGCATACAAACCGTTAAGAAACTACGTTTTTATAATTTCGATTGAGTTTAAGTACTGCATTCTGTCTATTTAATAATTGTAATTATTTACATTGCTGTGATTATTTTATTGAAACAATTATTCTAAGCTGATATATTTTAATATGAAATTCTAATTCTCACAGCCTTTAAAGATAACTTTCGTATACTTCTTAAATTTCTGATAATCTAAGATTTGGAGGCCACTGTATGTAAGCATCTCCATAATAATAATATTATAGACTTTTATTCCTTAGGGTAGTCTGATTTTATATTTAAAAAAAAAAGGAAAAATAATGTTCTATGAGTCATTAAATTCAGATAATAGATACCATTCTACAGATCGTAGAACGTTAAAAGTTAAAGCCACAGCTCTTGTCGTCAATTTTAGTCAGCAACGTGGATTACTTGAACGAATTTTTCTTAATTAGGTCCTTACATATGAAATTGACGTTTTGTACGGGTCGAATATAAATTTATTTAATTAACCAAAGTATGCACCGTTGTTATCTATGCACTTTTGCCATCTCACCGGTAGTTCATTGATCCCTTTACTAAAAAAACCATGGGGGCGAGAATCACTAAACTCTTTGAAGGCGGTTTGAATCGAAGTTGAATTTTTTTCCTTGTAAGAAGTTGTCCAAATTCTAAAAAAAATATTAATCTGTTGGAGCAAGGTCCGGGCAGTAAGGTGGATGTCGCAGACATTTCAATTGTAGCTCATCTAACTTAGTGGTTGTTTGTTGTGGAGTGTGTGGTCTTGCGTTGTCGTGAAGCAGCAGTGGCCTAGAGCGATTGACCAATCTCGGCATCATTAATCCTTCGAGCTGTTTCTGCAGCACTGGTGAAACGGTAGAACTCGTACTCGTAAATATACAGATATTTCATGTTTTCCATTGTGCGATAATAAGCGACGCACAAGAAAAAAATAATGAGGAAAAAACAAATGAATGACTGTTTTGTCAAAACATGTATGTAAGGACCTAATATAATAATTTATACACACAAAGCAAATACGTAATATAATTTATTAAAGATCTGGATCTATTTTGAGTTTGAGTTTGAAATTGAAATTAAGCCTTAATGAGAGTAGCCAATCTTAATTTGTAACACTTTTCAAGTCACTTTCTCTTTAAAGTTTCCGTACAAATTTTAAGGAAGTAAGTAATTATGAAATACGATCGAAGTGGCAACTAGAGAGTGCAATTAGAGAGGCCTATGTCCAGCAGTGGACTGCGATAGGCTGATGATGATGATGAAGTAATTAGGTATATATTTACTTTTAATTTTATGTTAATATAAAAAAAAGGTTTCTCATATCAATCAATCATCATTTAAAAAATCATTTATTTAGACTATATACCTAGTGGTTTAATCCTCCTTTCTAAGGAGAGGCCTATGTCCAGCAGTGGACTATTAAAGGCTGTTGATGATGATGATGACCTAATAGTTATTACGCTGTTAGGTAAACATTTACCTATAGATTTACATGCATTTTACACTCAATTCATTGTTTCACACACTTCATTGTTTTTTATAACAGAACATCGGTTACTCTGTTTATTGGCACAATGATAACATAAGTCATACGCGATCAGATCTTATCTTAGTTAACACATTGTTGCTTGTAGACAGGACAAACAGATGTAAGTCCTAGAACAATGTGTAAATAGTTTTATTTTGTATTAGTTGTCAAGTCCTCAGGTTTTTTTACAAGTCGCATTTACCATTAGTAACCAAGTATTTATAGTGTACTTGAATTTATTCTGTTGAAGTTAGCCTTGACAATAGGAAAACAAAATTATGTATTCATAGAAGCATTGAAGAAGTGGCAAGAGACACGACTAAACAAAACGACTACGTACGTAGAGGGTGACGTCTTTTTTTTGTTTAATTCTTCCGTGAAGAAGACACTTTTTAGGGTTCCGTACCTCAAAAGGAAAAAACTTAACCCTTATATAATTACTTTGTCCGTCTGTCTGTCAAGACCCTTTATCTTGGAAACGCGTGGAGGTATAAAATCCGTATACTCAAGTCTACAGTCAGTAATGAATCATCGAGGTACAATTTCACTTATCTAGCAAAATATTATAAGTAATTATAGGTTTTGAAAACTGAATTTCGGAAAAAGCTCGATTTATATTATGTACGGAACCCTCGGTGGGCGATTCCGACTTGCACTCATCAACAACGAACAAAGAATATTTCTAATATTTAATGCTTTGTCCTTTATAAATATCATGAAAAATCAACAGATGTATACTCACTGCCATTCTGCCCTAAATAGGTGACAGTTCTGTCAGGGTTTAATGGCATAACTTAAAGGTGTGATATACCTAATTAATAAGAAATGCATTTGATTTAAATTAAAAAACTTAAATAATACTTTTCAAAATTGCAAATAAGAAAGTTATGAGAAATAAATATTAATCATTCCCTTTTAAAATAAGATACAGAAAAAGAAGACACACAGCAGTCTGATCCCAAACTAGGTGGAGCCTGGGTTCGGATGTCTTAATAATAACTGTTGCCGGATCCCTCTTATTTCAGGCGCAGAGTGGCAAGTCGTATGGTTTTAGTTGGTTCGATTCCGACATATCACCCCACCAAACCAGAAACCCAAACCAGACTGCTGATAAACATCCCTAAATATTTCTAAATAAAAACATATTACAGATAAATTACACCCAGATATAGAAGAAAGGATCTTGCTCATTACACAATCATTTGTCTTGTGCGGGAATCAAACCCAGTCAGGGTCACTAACCACTAGATTCCCTAGTTAGAAAAATATTTCTTATTGCACAGTTAATGATTATTCGTTTAATTTGGTTGGCGGTTTGAAAAAGTTTAATTGAAATCAATTAATCTTTTTCAAACCGCCTTGTAAAGTACGAGGATGTATACAAAGACGATTGAATAAATCCGCGATTTAAATTAAAATTGAATATGTAATAATTACTTGAGTCAAAAAAAATGGGTAAAATATTGATTGTGAGTTGGAATTTGGGATTTGTAACAGGCATTACTTTTATGGAACAAAAACCTACTTTACTGTTACCTTAAGAAACCCGTTCTTTACCCCAGCAGTATGTCTTATACTAACTCAACAAAACATACTAACTTAACAGGATAGATACTGTCCTGAAGAACATTAATGACTGCTTAAGTAGCCGAATTTGTACAAATCACTGTTCAAATTTCGTCTCTTTTAACACGTATTCGTAATATACATAAAGATTTAGAAATTAATAGCGCAATATTACTAATTAAAATAAAATGTTAATGAACACATATATCTGACATGACTCATGACTAACATAACAATGCATTTTCTCTATATAACTGCAGTCGTTCAGAGCGCATCGTTTTGGGTTTTTTTTCAGAAATCCGTTGTCAGTGTCAAATTTCATTGTATGTAATGGAAATCCATTAAAATAGTAAAGTATTACTATACTTATATACAAGATAGATAGAGATAGATACAATACGATATAATCACATTACAATAAACGTTGGATTTTTATACTTTAATACGAAAATTTGACAGTTGTGAGATCGAGAGTTTTATTACGAGAACTGGTCCAATTTTTTATATATTATCGGTATAACGACGTGCTAATGTGGACTCTGGTATCATCTACGCTGAGTCTTTGCTATTTTTAACCGACTTCAAAAACACACAAGAGGAGGTTATCAATTCGTCAGTTTTTTTTTGTTTTCCTTTTTTACGTTTGTTACGCGATATCTCGATATGTACCGATTTTTAAAATTATTTTTGTAATCGAAAGGGTATGCTCCCAAGGTGGTCCCCTTACCACACAGTATCTGATGAAAGGGTCCTAGAGAAATCGAGGGAATCCCTCTAATCGAAAGGGTATGCTTTGCCTGTGTTGGCGGGTGTGCTTCCGGTCGATCTCGAGGTGCAGAGACGTGCAGCCATGTACTATTCAATACAACAAAACATGGCATGCGATTTTTTGGGCGCATGAAATCGCGATAAATTACAAGATTGCTTTAACAGTCTGCTCACCATATCATCAGGGAACGTAGTATTTGGTATAATGAACGCATTATAATGCTGAATAGCTTGCAAGTGACATCTGGAGCGGTATACTATGGGGATCTTGTGTCAACTAGGGTTAAT